CCATCTTGGAAATTGGTTTCACCAGCGTTGTCACCCCTCAAACCTTGTCACATTTACTAATGGGCAATAAAAATATTTCCTATGTTGGTTGCATGATACAATCTTTCTTGTACTTCTATCTGGGCACTACAGAGTTTTTTCTCTTAGCCATCATGTCCTATGATCGATACCTAGCCATCTGTAACCCCCTACGCTATCCATCCATCATGAGCAAGAGTTTGTGCACCTCCCTTACGCTTTGTTGCTGGATTGCAAGCTTTCTCCTCATCATTGGTCCATCTGTGGTCTTCCTACAGTTTCCAATGTGTGACTCAAATATCCTGGACCATTTCTTTTGTGACAACACTCCTCTGAACCACCTTGTGTGTGGGGACACCAGACTTCTTGAACTTTTGGGGTTCATCACTGCTTCTCTTTCATTGCTGGGGACTTTGACCATTTCAGTGGTGTTCTATATCAACATCATTAAAACTGTCTTGAGCATCCCGTCTGCTAGAGGTAGAAAGAAAGCATTTTCTACTTGTTCTTCCCATTTCATTGTTGTCTCCATCACCTATGGGAGCTGCATCTTCCTTTATATCAATCCAGCCCAGGACAGCAAAATGGAGTTAGCCAAAATGGTGGCTATCCTGAACACAATTGTTTCCCCTCTGCTCAATCCTTTCATTTACAGCTTGAGAAACAAACAAGTTCAGGAAGCCTTGAAAGATCTATTGAGACAGTTCAAAGCCATTGCTAAAGGTCCACGGAAACCCTGAAAACTCCGTCCCTCTTGGACTTGGTGCATCTGACCTTTTCTTTGGAGGGCTGCCAAATATTTCACCATTTTTTGGCAGCTGGCTAAGTTGACCAAGAACAGTCATTTTGAACATACTCATTTCAGTACAGGATCATAATTTATGGTTGAATTTGCCTGATCTTCTAATGCTGATGCCATGCTGATGTGCTTGTTATGCTAAATAGTTTATAGTGAATTAATTTATTTTACTTCTGAATTTGATGATTATGGACTGAGTTTTTGTTGAAAACCTTCTTATGCTGCCTGCACAGGGATGATGGAGTATATAACTGTTAAATAAAAAAATAAAAACATTGTGCAGCAAACAACACTGTAGTTGGCAAACGAAAAAATTGATAAACTGACATGCTTTTTTGAAGCTTCTGAATATTTATATACCTATTTATATCCTTGTTTAATTATGAAATTTGCCTGAAACCAGCTGGCCCCTTCATAAGGTACAGAGTTTAGAGTGGGAGAAAAATGAGAATAACATCAGAATAGCAGCCAGAAGCAAAAAGGTAAAAAGTGTAATATGTGGAGTCCTTGGTGCTCTCCAAGCTGCATTGTTTGCTTGCAGACATTTCATTCATCCTCCATCTAGACCCTTATGGCCTCCAGGCCCTTGGACAGCCCCGCAACAGCATCACCAGAGATGTATATCTGGGTATAGGCAGCAGCACCCCCAGCCCACCCCATCTCTGACACGAGGGGACCAAGAGGGCCCCCCCATACCCAGCCCCTGCTCCAATTTCCTAACCATGTAAAAGCTCCTGGTCCATACCAATGTCCTCAATCTGGGTGCCAGCACCTTCAATCCCAGGTCCTCCCAGACAGGAAGGGAATCCACTAAAATGGCTGCTTTACCATGTGACCGCTTCAGCAGCAGGTGCAAGAAAACAGGCAGGCCCCCCCCCCCCAGGCCCACTGCCTTGCTTCTGCTCCCCCTGCCACAAAGTGCCAGGCCCCTGAGCCCTCCACTCCACTGGGACTCCTACGGACCCCATGGCCACCGCCACTTTCTTGACCTGTGCCAGCCTAGACTGTCCCTGTACTCTCTGTGGTGGACACCCAAGATGGAGGATGAGGGGATAAGCCACTAGTCTGTTGCTGCTAGCTCTGCCATGCTGCTGGGTCCTCTGGAGTCCAGTCCGTGCCACCCATCAGCTGGAGCAAAGGCAGATGATCCACAGCATCACTGAGCTCTGCTGCCTGCATCTTGCTCACCAAGGAGCCTCTGCAATGGAGGGGCCACCACTGAAAGCAGTCCTGATTGGCTGCTGCCCAGGAAGGGGTCAACAGGGATCCATCGGCCCCTTCAAGGATTTGTCCCCTCCACTGCATTGCCTGCCTTCGCTGTTGCTGCTCTTCCCACTCCTCCTGCTGGCCCAGAGAACTGGTACTAACATGGCTGGCTACCCACTGAACTGACAAGGACCATCAAACACCTCCATACACCATCCTCATCATCCTCAAAATTCCCAGCAAAGTGAGCCTATCAAACAGACATCCACTTCAGCACCATAATGGAAAAAGAAAATAGTGTTTTAGATGGAAGAAAATCCCACACTCACTTACACTGATGAAGTTACCTAGTTGGGTAATGAAACTTCTGCAAGCAAACAACCAACTCAGAGACCACCAAGGACTCCACCGTCCAACCCTGAGCTACAGATATTCTCTTCTATTG